GATGAAGTAACCAGACACTCACACCCACATCCTCATCATAAATTCTATTGATATCCAGAGCTTCTCTGAACTGTAGTCAAGTTTTTGTAGAGCACTGAAAGAAAATACCATCCTTAAGCTTCGAAAAAAATTTCTTAGGCGCTTTGTCAGTAATTGTCGTCGGAGTTTTTACTGTCATGTTCACTATCCAACAAGATAAAGTAGCGCAAGCAACATGAAGCCAAGATCTACAGCAATCCGATAATACCACTCGACGAGGGTGTGAATGTGGATTGAGGTATCAAAACAGTTAAACCCATCCACAATCACAGTCTCAAGTATGCTCTGTGGCGCTGTGAATATCGGGGATTTTTCTTTTGATGATCTTCATTTTCATAACCGAAACTGTCAGCGATGTGTTGAGGCAATACTTAAAGTGTTAGTAAGGTTCTACAATTAAGTTTATTCACAAAAGAAAAGAAAATGCCACTACTATATTTGAAGGAAAAATTTGACATGCGGACGGAATTATAACCGTCTGCATCAATTGCTTAGTTAAATGCAGGATCGGGACAAACATTCTAGCAGTAGTTACCCCTGTCACTGTCAATATCTTCTAATTCAGTCACCAACTCGATGTCTTGGCTTTGATAATTTAGCTACTTCTTTCTCTTCGGATGAAGTTTTTGAAGTTAACCAGAGAGTGAGAGTGAGTGAGAATGCGGTGCGGCTTTAAAGGTAATCAACACGTTCACCCTCAATGTATCCTGCCACGCTAGAATATTTTTATAATGCTTTGTTTGATCTTCTAAGTTATGCATATATCTCTACGTCAAAAATGCAAAAAGAGAAGTCATGGTTTTTTTGCTTGAGTTACAGTATAACGCATGACGAGCAGAACAAGAAGCCCATGAAGTGATTTGATGAAAACAGGATGAATGAATAAATAAATGAATGAATAAATAAATGAATGAATAAATAAATGAATGAATAAATAAATGAATGAATGAATGAATGAATGAATGAATGAATAAATAAATAAATAAATACATACATACATGAATAAATGAATGAATAAAATGAATGCCGTTGTTTTTTTTTCGGACCCATTTGTTGATTTAACCTATGCAAAACACTTTGACTTTGTCAACGCGTATGTGCATCGGAGAAACTATTCTTCAATAAAGACATCAACATTCTACCATTTTATTTCTTTCTTTCGTTCGTTCCCAAACAATCAATTTTTCTGTTGATTACCTTTGCTCTTTATAATAACGCATTCAACAGAACAACACTCCTTATATTTCTTCTTTCTGCCATCGAGGAACATACAAAAGCAATAAACATCACAACCCTTTACAATAATTGCTAACAGTACAGTGCTACGTCTCTGGTTTTTT